CGCCTATGGTAGGTGGCTACTTACCTGGCATATCTTCGTGACTCCTGGGTACCACCTTCCACGAAGTGGGGGACATAATTCAGAGCTTCGAGCAGCCCTTTCGCCGCACTGTCGACAGCTAAAGTCTATCAGTACGACAAGATATGCTCGCGTCACCAAGCCCCGCCACTTCCGCCCTCAACAGCTAGAGACTTCGACCCATCTCTGTCTCTCCTCGCTGTTGTGCAACTGTTCGCGCAGCTGTGCGTGCAGCGCCGTCGCGAGGGGCCCATCCGAGCACAAGCGGCCCAGCTCCAGGCCGCCGCCTCGGCGAGGCCCCGCCGGCGGGGCCGAGAGCCCTGCTTTCTGTCTGTTGGCCTAGAGGGCCTAGAGCCCACCTTTTGTGGGACTCGTCGGCCTGAGGCTAGGGCCCCGCACGGAACCATTATGCCACAACTACTACTACGAAGACTTCTTGTTCTTCCGTTCCCTCTACGAACACTGAGCCCCGGGGTCCCAAAGTCTGCAGCCGAGAGGCCAATGCGCGTCCAGGCCGAGGGGGAGATCGAGGGCCAGGGGATCCCTGAAGACAACTTCGGCTCTACTTGAAGGCTCAAGAGAAATAAAAAGTCGGCGGTAGGTATATAGTTTTAGGGTCATATGTACTTTAACTATCTTATTTGGGCTCGTCTTATCTTGATTCTGGCGCTGCATATATCCCTGCTTATATCCAACATCCTAGGCCTAAGATAATCGGTCTGGTAGGCCCCTAAGGCCCTACCAATCCTGGGACCCGTCAGCAGTTTAGGTAAACAACAGGGCAGATCTCCAATCTCACGCTAGCAGACATCACGTCGGGGCCGAGAGGAACTGGCTGTTGTGTCGTTCGCCCGCCGGCTGCGAGCACTGCTTGGGGATGGGACCCAGCAAGTATTACCCCAGATATTTATAGGTTGCTACAGTTCATGTCTGCTGCAATGCACCAGAACCAACCACCAATCCGAAATCGAACCCTGCAAAGCTTCAAACCTCCACGCAAAGCCCAAGCAGAACCTCTCAAAAGCTTCTGCACGCAGCGCCTGGCGCCGTTCCAGCCAGGACCTGCGACTGGACATCATCCGCCAGGGTTGAGCTTCATGGGGCTCCAGATGCCCCAGCTGCAATGCGTCTAACTAGCAAGCCAGAACGAGTGAATATTTCCCCCTCCGAAAGGCGAACGCCAGCCTACAAACCAGCATCATCGATCACACAAAGCACATCATTCAATCAGCAGCCGACACCGAACCGTGGGCTGTGTTGTGCACAGATGTTATCCGTGCATTCTGTGCAGATGTCTTTTCTCTGAAACTCCTTGTTTGATGAACTGTCTCTCCGTTTTGCTGGAGAGTGAAGACCGAATTCGACTCTTTGAGATTCTCTAGCTGCTTCCAGGAAGAGGCTCCACGATCGCATCCTGAGCATCTCCGATGAATCCGGATGTAACGAGGTTACTTTTCCGGAGAGGTGGCTGCAGTTCATTTCATAAACTCGTGCTGTCATCGGGCTTCTCCCGGGCACTGCTAATGCTACCCCCGCTTATCTTGACAATGCTTCTGAACACTACCCAAACCCTGCACGATAAAACCCGAAGTCCCAAGGCACAAAATCTGAAATCCGATCCGGAACCCGAATCCTAGAACCGTAACGTTCTAAACCCCTTAGAACAGGAACCCCAAAAAACCCCCTAAAGCCCCTGAAAAAGCGCCCTCGCCTGAGGCGGCAAAGTGCGGGCTCTCCGCCTCGCTGCGTTCCGCTCCTCAGCTCTCGCAACTCTTAGAGGGCCCTTTAAAGGGAGGGGGGGGTAGGGGGCCTTAATGTTTTCGGGCTTTTAGGGTTTAGGGTTTAGGGTTTTTAGGGTTTAGGGTGTAGGGGGGGTAGGGGGCCTTAATACCAGTAACAAAGGCTCAATAAGGCCTATTTGAGGAAGTAAAGTCCCCTACCGCCCTAAGGGGTCCCTATGATCGATAAGTACCTGAACTGCGTAGCCCATTATGAACTCTCGCGAAGTACCCTATAAAGCACTTTAGGGATTCATGTCTGGGGCATAGTCTTCACTAGTGATGTGCAGAGTGTTGAGTCGACAGTAGTTCCTATGATTGAAGCTGAACCAGTGAGCTGCCCCACAACAGAATATGGACTTAGGGCTTCGCGCTTGCAGGGTGTGCGGATCCAAAAAACTCGTGTCCACCCTATAGTAGCATTCTGATCGGCCATGTGGTTTGTCGTTTCTTATGCTGACGATTTCTGCCCTCATGCGGCTCGGATCTGTTGAAGCGTTCACTTCTGCAGAAAATCCTGCAGCTGACTGCTGAAAGACCCCACGAGGGCAACCCCGAGCCAGCTCCTGAACCGATATCCCTGCTCCAAATCCGGCCCAAGCCCAATATTGTCTGACTTCCGGCTCACCAGATACTGTTTTCCAAGGCACTGCTCGATCCAAGATCTCCAGTATTCGGTCGAAACCAGCTCGAATTCGATGCCTCTCCTCAGCCTCCGGAAGCTTCTCCGTAATTAACAACCGGTCTCTGGCAGATCGCTGGTCAATTCAACAAGAATCCGGCCCGAATCATAATTTCGAAAAACGAGACCAGGGAGGCCTCCTGGAACTCCAGCCGGTCGTTGCGGTCGCATCGGGGCAGACACGGCATCTGCCAGGCAAGGACGATCCAGGCTTACATTTCCAAATGATATCAGTTGTATTCAAACAACAGTGCATGAGTGGGTTTCTGAAGACTTGGATTTAAACATTCATTTAGAGAAAGGGGTCGTGGGGTTCTACGCATTTTGACAGGGCTCAAAGGCCCACCCGGAAGCCCAGCTACCCATACGGTGTATGACAGTCCCCATTTATCCATGGTGCAGCAATCTACTGTAGGTCACTGTAGGTATGTGTGTATATATATATATGCGTACAGCTGTACAGTATAGCAACCCGTTTTCGTTTTAAATTACCTAGCAAGGGAACCCATTATGCAAACAACCGGACTGCCAGGCAGATCACGCTTGCGGCTTCGATCTTTGATTCGCTCGCTGAGGGCCCGGCCAGGCTCCATTGGAAGTTCTTTGCCTGCCCGCAGGCAGATGATATGCAATGTTGACGTATACACCATGTAGTATGCCATATGGCATATGTACATGCAGATTTAAAGCTACACACACATATGTAGACATAGTATATGTAATCACAAATACTGATTGACCTGGCCCTGCTCATTGGACCCTTTGGGATTAAACACCATCTGCACGCAGCTCACTGCCGATGCCTTCCCAAGCGGCACGGAAGTCCACACCACGTCCTGTCAAGACATGCTCAGTGTGGGTTTAAGGTTTATGGCGCATGCATGACTCGTAGAGTTTGTGCCAGTATGCGTTGCTGTGCGGAGCCTAACATGCCATCCAAGGTCGCAGGTCCACTTCATATGTAAGTATGTGTGCTATCTAATGTGTATATATGTATATACAGACACAGATACACAAAATACTTTGGTCGCGAATAACGAGTAGATAGCCAATACAAACGCAAAGGTGCCAATATACCAATATTGAACTAACCTATGCAGGGAGTGTAATGTCGGCCCAATATTGCCAGAAGGAGACCGTACACAGATCAAACGAAATCAATAGCCAGGCCCTGAACCCGAATTCCTTGCAACCCAACCCTAGAAACACACACACACACGGAACACGCAATGCACTAAATCAGAGCAATAATGACGACCGCCATCAGAGTCATAAGCATTCCGGTAACAAACAAAGAAAACATCACGAAGAATCGAACCTGCTTGGCTACCAGCGCCAAGCTCTTTTTTGGGTTTTCGCATCCTCTCTTCACCACATGATCTTTTGGATACCTTGACCCTCCAGGCTGACTTCACGTCGAACTGGACGCCCCAGCTCTGACAACCAGGAAACCAAGCCATCGCCGCTGTACGCAGTTGTCTTCCGGAAATCCACAGAATTGTCGAGGATGTAGCCAAAGCGGCAGTGTCTCAAGACATCTTCAGCGTACGGTCGCTGCTGTGCTTCGCTAAGCTCGGACAAAGCGAAACAAGAAATACAGAGGTCGTAACGGTGTTCATCATGGGAACTTGTTGAATTCTTGAAGCGCGTCTTACGGAAAAATTCAGGGAAATGTGAAAGGAATCGGTACTGCAGCATACCAGCTTCCGGGAGATCGAAGATGGTGTATGACTCCAGCTGGGCTGACAGCAGATGCATTGCCAAAGCTTGACCGCCATAGCCCCCTCCAATCCTGGTACATGAGGCAGCCCACACAACATGTAAATGTAACTAGGCAGCACGTTTAGGAAACTGCGACCCTCAACAAAAAAACTGTATGTAATCAGTCTCCCAGTCACTCTGCAATCCTCCATCCCATGAGACCCGCAGAGACATTCCAGCCGGGTGAGGTCACCAGGTGCGAAAGAATGTCGCCAAGGATGCCAACATATCTCATCAGGAATTTCTCAATGCAAGGATCACGGAACGTAGTGCTCATGATATTTTTGGGATTTTCGATGTTGTTTGGGGGCCAACTTAGGCAGGGAAGGAAGGGTGTACTGCAGGGACAGGCGTACCTCGCTGCCCTGTGGAGGGGATAGGGTCTGTTCCGAGGGCTGTGTAGCACTGTATTTGCAGCATCGCTTGCAGGATTGTGGCGCAAAACGGATTATGGTGCTCCTGGAAAAGGTAGATGGGCCCAAAAGTTGGCGTCACGTTCCAGCCAACCTTGGGATCACTTCCCATCACGAGATATGGTGTTCCACAAGTAGCGGCAGAAGATCATGTACTCGATGTTGGCAACCCTCGAAAGGACTTGGCCACCAAAAGCGTGTTGGATGGCCATCCGAGTGAGGGGGGCCACCTGGGAGGTATGATCTCCGGCTTTGCCGATGACCATGATCAAGCGGTCATCCGGAGGATGACCTGGCCTTGACGGACTGTATCCTAAGGCATCGGCCAATTTGACCTGGGCTGTGCCACAATTAATTGTAGTCGATTTTCTGCAACACCTCTTTTCCTGGCGTCACAGGTGCCGTCTTGATGTCCAAGTATAAGCCAGCATACCGGCAATGGTAGATGTAGCGAAAGACGTCGGCACGGTGTGCAGGGCTGGCCAGTTTGTCAAGGAACTCCGTACCGTAGGTACCTGCCCACTCCTCAACAGTCTGACGCAGAAAAACATCATTGCAGCATTGACGATTGAACTCAGGGAACATCTTGCCCACCGTTGCTTGGGGCCCCTCGTTTTCGTCATGAATGTACGTCTGGAACATGGCGACCTCAGCCAGGTCCGCCATGGTGCGGCACTGGGCCACAGCCCTCGTAGCAATCATCTCCCGATGCATGTCCGAAGCCCGCGCATTCCAGCTCGCGACAATCAAGACTGGCCAAAGCCTGAGGTCTAGCTTGTCTCATCGCTCGGGTGGCCCGCTGAACTAATGCGCCGATGGCAACGCGGGCAACCTGTGTGCGGAAGTGGCAGTCCTTGGTCGTGTATAATCGATCAATCTCGTCCAGGGTCTCAAGGTTCATAATCTAAACTGCGCTATCCCATCGATTTGCCGAACTGCCAGTGTAGCAATTCCAAAATGGAGGGCACATTGTAGCCGGCATGGTTGATATTGAGAGCTGTCCTAGGGCAGAGCACAAAGCCCGAGAAAATCGGGTATACCCTGTACGATTGTCCGCGCAGAAACTACTGAAGAGTACTGTCGCTGAGGACCACAAAAGGCTCCGTAGGTTCCATGGCCATCAGCAACTGTGCCGTACTCTCTCCCAGTGGGCTGTGCCCTTAAGTCCAAAACAGCAGCTTGAGAAGTCCCTAAACGCACGTCTGTTGTAGCTGAGCAAGTCAGAGATGTGGTATGAACCTGCTGAGAGCTGCTTGCGAGCAGAAGCTTGAGAAGGAAAGAGCAGGTATGTTATTCTAGCACTCTTCTCAGCGCGATGTTTAGTTGCAGCCATGCTCCCCTGCTGCTTCACTGCGGGCATTGCGGGCATGGCAAGCACAAGCAAACACCGGGCGCACGGTCCCGAGGTCAAGTCAGCCTCGATGGTCGCCGACCTGCACCAACCTGCACCAGTTCTAGCTGCAGAGCCTATTTGGAGAAGCTGAAAAAGCGCTCTGTTTGGGCTTGCGAGCTCTCTGCTATGTGTGTGTCGGGCACTTTCAGCTTGGGCTAGGGCCAGCCAACTGTGTTGGCAAATTTGAGGGCTGTGCCCTGTACTCAACGAAGGACAGGAGGCAAAATGGGCTCTGGGAGCCGTGTTGATGTCTCTGGCAAGCGAAAGCCGACCTGCTGTAAGTCCGTTCGCATGGCCTCGGAAAAGCGCTCCCAGCCAGCAGTCGTGTAAGCAACTATAACGATCCTATCAAAAAGCGACCAAGACGGCGTGGCATGCATAAGGTCGCGAGCCTGAAATAAGACGGCCTGACTCGAAGGGAGTGGATTCGGCCACCTACCATTCCTGGGAGACTCCATGTACACGTTACCTCCGGGATGTTCTACCCATAGCTCTCCTCCTTCATTGTATGAGAGCTGGATGACAAAACTGTCGGGTGCGGAGGAGAGCATAAATTACACGGCACACTCAGAGACGTCCATGTAAACGTCGGGATGTGTGGACAAGCGTGTTCATCAGCGACGTAACGTTGGAGTGTGAGATCGTGTCCTTGAAAAGTCCTGGCACTCCTAGCCGAAAGACTTTTGCCGGCTTGACCTGCATGTTGCGACGGAGAATCAGAACGTATGGCAGATCAATGGCTACCTGGCGCACACAGATGCCAAAGAGAGCCTAAGCTATCTGCCAGAAGGTCCCCAGCCACGCATTCGACCGAGGTGGCACGAGCGTGAATTGGCAGAGGAGCAGGAAACGGCGTTTTCCGCCCTCCGAATCCGCTCGCATTCTGTGCAGGTAGGCGCAGCGAGGTTCTTCCGGTAAAGCTGACCATGTCATTGCGGGAGTCATGCCCAGTGCCGGAGGCATATTTATCTGCTGGTCTGCACAGTGCTGCCAAATGGAGGCAAGAATGAAGAAGCCCTCCAGGCAGTCCGAACAAAGCGAGATAAGGAGCTCCACATAATACACCGACACGATGCGAACAATCAGGGGCCTATCGCTACTTGAGAGAAAAGCATGACAGCACATGGGAACCTGCTGATCTGAAGCCGTGCCTGTGTCGGAGTCAGTGGGCAATCATGTCCCTTGCAGAGGAGACTTAGCTGGGCAGTGACTTTTGCGAGCACAAAATCAAGTTGACAGTGGTGATGCTACCGCTACCAGGGCTCTGGGGGAATCCCAGGCTGTGCCACAGTCAGAAAATGGCGTAATCCATTTGCCACATCAAAGACGTCAGGAGGGTCTGCCCAGATGCCGCGAAGGGTGGTGATGTCCGTAGCTCGAAGAAGACCTTGCGAACGTAGGAGCCCCGGGTCCGGAGTCCACATGACAAAAAGAACTTCGCAAAGGTTGCCGATTTCTCCCAGCTTCCAGAACTCACTTGAGGGCCTGTTGCCTGTGAGCTTGACAAGAGCAGCAGCAGCAGCAGCAGCAGCAGCAGCAACAACAACAACAACACCAACAGCAACAGAAACAGCAACACCAACACCAAAACCAACAGCAACAGCAACAGCAACAGCAACAGCACCACCACCACCACCACCACCACCACCCAAGCGTCTGGGCCCAAGCTGGAATTGCGTGCCCCTGGGGAAGCTTGAAAGAGCTTGTTCGATTTTTGGTGTGTGTTCCCAGGCATGGCACTGTGACGATAATGTAAAGTCGAAACCTTGGCCGCCAGACTCCGAGGACCCGCTGCAATTCTCCTCGCCTCAGGTGTATCTTTTGATATGCCGGCGTGGGGGGGGGCAGCCAACTGACATCAGGCTGCGCACCGAGCATGCGCTGCGCTAAAGGCTGTTGAGCTGCCCTTGACTCTCCAGGTTGGCGCTGGGTGCATCATTTTGATGCGTGGGGTCACTTGGGGATACGCTGGCGCTCCGGTCGAAAGCTGCGCGCGCGCTGATGTTAGCAGCTGTCACATGCTCACACATTTACCCTCACCCTCACCCTCACTGCCACATCCACGCTGCACCTCATGTTCACTGCCACATCTCTTGTTACCTGGCCGACTGGTTGGCTCGGAGCTGCGCATGCTTCACATGCATGTCACATGCATGTCTTAAGTCCTTCCTTAGCCTGGTTTAGGTCCCTGCCGACCCGTATGGTTCAACTCTGACCAGTAATCTACCTTCGATGGGCTTTGCGAAGCCGAAGTAGCCCTACCCCAAGCTGCCCTACCCTCTCATTCCCCCATACACGCTACCTGCAGGATCCAGGCTCTGCATTCTCTGCCCCAGTTGTGCCGTGGCAACTGTGTCAATGCACCGCCCTCGTCATCCACCCACTGCCACACATACCACTCGCAACCCCGCTCCACCAAGAGATTCTACCTCACATCATACCACGATGCATCATGCCCTGCCCTACGCCTCCCATGTCCTGGTTCATGTCCTGTACTGCACATAGCATCGCCTTTGGCCGTTGGGGATCATAACCTTGGTCTTGCCTGTCCCAGTTCACTTAAACCATGATTGTCAGGGCTTGAGGACTTGGGATTCATTGCATCCGTTGCCTCAGTGAGCCGGCATCACCGTTGCCAGTGCTGACGTCGGCTTTGACCATGGTTTGACCATGGCGTGCACCTGGTGTTGACGATCTCAGCTGGACTGGACTTGTTCTGTTAGCATCTGGCGCCGGGTACCTAGTTCAGCTTTATACCCACCAAACAAAAAACAATGCTTCCACAAAGGCCGCCGCATGTGTCTCAGGAGCTGTGGGAGTTGGAGCTCCCGTTTATTCTGGGCTTGGCTCATCCTCGTCTCTCAGCTGACGGAGCCGACTCGGATTCTGGATGGGATGACTTATCGCCGACTGAGGTCGATGACTCCGGTCCGGTGCATGCTGCCTCGCCGCTGCCTGCATCTTCTGGCTATTCAGCACCTCCACCTGTGCCTGCATCTACGTCTACGCCTGCTGCATCTTCCACTGTTTCGGACGGTGCCACCTCCCCGATCATTATCGATGCGGATGCCGAGACTCCTGCTGATCAAGATGCGTTGGCCACTCAGGTGTATGCTCCAACTGATCCTGATTCGGGAGTCTGGAGCGAGGTGTGGAACATGGACAGACCGGCACAGGGTTTTCACACATACGAGTTGCACTTGGACACCTTCGTCCTACCACCTGCGCCTGCACCGGGCGCACCGCGGATGGAGCTTCTGGCTTTTTCTGTATGCTCCCGACGAAGCTGCACCACTGAGGACTTGAGACATCTCTGCAGTTTGTTACCTTTGCAAACCGCTGCGAAACGGCGCAGACTCACCACATCTGATGGCGATACTGGTCGACTACAGCGCAGCTTCTCGGTTGGGGCCTACTCGGCAGGAGGATGCCATGGGATACAAAATCATACATACAACTTCCCTTGGACAT